GTTTGTTTACATTTTGAACTGCTGTATTTTTTAAAATATGATGTACTGTCTGAATATCTAACACCATTTTCGTTCGCTATACTTCTAAATGAGTATGAAATAGAGTTTATGTTCAGAAAAATTCGAAATTTGGGCAATGTTCACATTAGAGGTCCTCACATTGTTATGAGCAGAACCGATGCGCAGAACGGACTTGACTTCCCCTTTAAAAAAAAAACAAGTAGGGCGCGCTGGTTGTTGTGCAGTACAGTTGCAACATGCATGCACATACATAGGCTACCTGGATATATTTGGTAGTGATGTTAAGTTTCCTTGTAAGATCCTTAATGTTGCATGCATATAGAATATATTCTCATTTTTTGTTTGCAGAGTGATTTTGAAATTCAGCATACTGAGAGAATAAAGGCGTGTTCAACACCGCTATTGGCAACCGGATCTCTACAAGAGATAAGTTCACTTACCCTCATTGCAGAGGGCATATGGTATAGTTGCCATATTAAGAGGTCGAAGTACTATAATCAGCACTATTACATGCTTATCAGCAGCGTACCGTAAACCTCCGAATATAAGCCCCCCCCGAATATAAGCCCCCTGTGTATAAGCCCACCACATGTACTAACGCTCACCTCATTCCAAATATAAGCCCCCCCCCCCGAATATAAGCCCACTTGTTTATCAGTTATCACCATTTATTGTTTATCACTATTTTATTTTATTTTATTTTACAGATTTTGCCATTTAACACAAACTATTACACAAAATTAGTTAACACAAACTATTACACACAATTGGTTACATGGCTGGAATTACCACACAGAGATTAGTTCTCCAATGACGGGGTTCCAAGACATTCGAAATACACAGTATGAACAATAACAGGCTTGCAGACAGACAGACAGACAGACAGACAGACAGACAGACAGGCAGACAGGCAGGCAGGCAGGCAGGCAGGCAGACAGACAGGCAGGCAGGCAGGCAGGCAGACAGGCAGACAGACAGACAGACAGACAGACAGACAGACAGACAGACAGACAGACAGACAGACAGACAGACAGACAGACAGACAGACAGACAGACAGACAGACAGACAGACAGACAGACAGACAGACAGACAGACAGACAGACAGACAGACAGACAGACAGACAGACAGACAGACAGACAGACAGACAGACAGACAGACAGACAGACAGACAGACAGACAGACAGACAGACAGACGTGAAGATCAACAAACAAGCACAACGAATTACACTAATCAACGACTTACAATTTATGTGACAATAAATTAACAACATGCTCGATTCGACAAGTTAGTCAATGGGCGAGTTGAATGACACTTCACACAAACAGACTTAAATGTTCTCGGATCCTCGGGATTATAAATTTCCCTGGTGAGATCCTTATAATGTTGCATTAAACAAAATTTGAAAGAGACAACAGTTTTGTTGGTTTCTCTGATCAAACAGGGGAGTGTATTCCACACGTTGGCAACTCTGACGTAGAAGCTGTTTTGGTAGCTCACTGTCTTGCATTTGGCTACTTCAAGTAAGATACCATTGGTTGCATTAGTACTTCGTGTTTCTCGAGTGGGAATCTTGATAGAAATGTTACTGTCAGAGTTGGAAATGATGCACTTGTAGAGATACACTAGATCTAAATACTCGTGCCAGTAACATATAGGGATGATGCCGATTGTGGCCAGTCTTTCCTGGTATGATATATCGGTTTGGTACGGCAATGACAAAATAAATTTGGTGGCACGTCGCTGTACACGTTCAATGGTCAAGATGTTGTTTACCGTCTGGGGTGCCCATACCTGACTACCATAAGCCAGCTGACTACGAACCATAGTCAAATAAAGTACCTTACGAACTCTACGCTGGCGAATGTCGAACGCCGTTCGCTTTACGAAACCTAACATTTTATTTGCTTTGGTCGATATCTCTTGCACCTGTTTGTTCCATTTAAGGTCGTTAGTGGTAGTTATGCCTAGATCTTTCTGACTGGATGATTGTAGGACTGGAGTGTCTGATATTGTGTACTGTGTGATCATCGGTTGAGCAATTCTTGAGAAATGCATGGCTACACACTTGGTTTGGTTTAAGTCCATCTTCCAGTCACTACACCAGTTGGCAACACTATCCAGATCTTGCTGCAGAATTATGGTGTCTTGGAAATTTCGAAGATGACGGTGGCATTTTGTGTCATCAGCGAACATTGACACGGTAGTATCGTGCGAGGTAGACATAGGAAGGTCGTTCACGTAGATAAGGAAAAGGAGTGGTCCAAGGATTGATCCCTGAGGAACTCCGGAAAGCACTGGAAGTGGTTCAGATGTTACACCAAGAACAGTGACTCTCTGTAATCGCCCATAAAGATAGTCCCCGAACCAGCGAAGAAGATTTCCTCTAATGCCAAAATTGTGAAGCTTCACGAGTAAGAGACCATGGCTGACTTTGTCGAAAGCTTTCGCGAAATCAAAATAGATAGTGTCAACTTGGCCCCTTTTCTCTAAGACATTATGACATTAAGACACTATTACCACTTACCACTATTAATCACTATTATTACTATGCTAGTATGCTTAACACTTGTTTATCACTATTACTACACTTGTTTGTCACTATTACACTAACACAAAAGATCGTCCATGTATAAGCCCCCCCGTATATAAGCCCCTCCTTGTATAAGCCCATGAAATATTGCTTTCGGAAAAACATAAGCCCAGGGCTTATAGTCGGAGGTTTACGGTATTTTGTTCTTAATGCTGAATACCTCAATGGCTTTGGCAAATGTACCTCGAGCATATTCTGCTGGGAAGGATTGGTCAAACTGTGCCAATCGGTGAACTATAGAACACATGAAGCTAGAACTAAGATTATATGGCGATCGATTGTTGTAACATATTGTAATAATGAGAGATTGAGAATGCACAAACAGGCCGGGGTTGCATGGTGATGGCGATCTAATTAATGCTAAGCTAAGTGCTTAGCCATGATTTCATAATAATATATAATACTTGACAAAACCATACAACTCTCTAGCCTGTGTGTCAGTAACAGTGTAGTCAACTGGAACACAGGCTATAGTAACACTATACGTACTACTGTGTACTTACTGTAATTTTAGATGTTACAGAAATTACAAAATATATTTTTATATACAGTTCATAGTACTGTTTGATTATAGCGTACTTGGATGATTAATTGCCTGCAGAATTATTGTTTAGCTATTTCGTTTTAGCGTATCTTATTCAGTTGACGCAACATCATTTAACCAACGAAAGTGCCCGCTATTTCGTACTCCGACTTTGACTGTTATTTACTGGTTGTTATAACTAAGAAAAAAATGGCCAAATCAACCAAAATATTATTGGTGAATATCCGTACCATTTGTATTATAGTTAAAACAACCTATATTTATTTGGTTGAAATATGCTCAATTTGACAGTTTAAATTTTAGTCATTTTAACTTTTGAATATAGGTTGGAATTACTTTTTTTAATTGGTCAAAATAACAATAAATCTTTAGTTCAATCAACCAATAATTAATACGTTAAAATGACATATTACAGATTTATAGGTTAAAGTAACCATTTTCGATGGTTTGTTTTAACCTATTTAATTTTAGTTGTTTTAACCTATTAAAACAACCTATTTCTTATGGGTACAAACCAACCCATTTTTAATGGTTTGTTTTAACCTATTTAGTTCTGGTTCTTTTAACCTATTAAAATAACCTATTTTTATCGGGTTGTCCTAGACCAAACCAAATTACCTATTTTTTTTGGTTATTTTAACCTATCAGTTTTTACAGTGTAGCTACGCGACTGCTGACAAGCATGGTATCTGCCTTCTAGAGTATTCCGTTTCTCCAAAAGTATTAATGTTTGATGTTATATGCGTGATTGTAGACTACTGAACAAAATTTGCAAAAATTCATCTGAATTCCGGCCAGCCGTTGTATAAAGCGAAAAATAATCGAGCAATGCATGTTTCATTTATATTTGTAACAATTTGCAACATGAAAATAGTGCACTCTGGATCAACATTAAATGTGTTTGAATATAAAGACATCGTGTATCCTATGGGAGTGGGAGTAACACAAATTTTCACATTTTCTAGCATTTTTGACATACACAAATTAAGTTATTCCGAGGGGGGGGGGGAGGCAAGGTAATTACCGGAAAAGGCAAGGTAAATACCGCAATGTTGAGAAATGTTGATATATATTATCGAGGCCGGATGATCATTGCCGTCAACTAACTAAAATAGTCTTGACCCTCACCCCGGGCATGGCCTATCGATGTGAAATGGCTGTGAAACTCATTACAATAACAATTAATATAACGCATTATCTATATATTGGTCAACGTTTATTCATTTGGTCCTTTACAGTCATGTGCGTATTCAATTGTATTTTTTCCAAATTCTCCAGTACCAGTTTTTAATTTACCCTAATTCTCGAGTAACGGATGGGTAATTTTCCTAAATCGATTGGTGCCAAGATTGTATAGGTCTCTTATAGAAAGACTGCATAAATTATTCGTTACTACAAGGTCCAAAATAGAGCAATCTGTTGTAGGTTCCCTAACCATTTGCATGGCCGTATAGTCCATGGCTATTTAAATTATTGTAGTCCCCCACAAGGGCAACACAACAATCTGGAAATTGAACGCAGTCGAGAGACTCAATTAAATACGTAACAAATTCTCGCTATTCTTGTGCTGATTTATCTGGAGGGTTAGATTATATTTCTTTCATTGGCAATGCCAGAGATAGGGAGGCCGCGCGCGGTAGGGTCTGGGCCAAAGCCATAAGGATTCGTTCAGTAGGTTTTCAGGCGCAGTCCATCTTTTATGGATGGATTTGCATGAGATAGATATGAAAGCGGAAACATTTCCCTCACGACCATGCAACTGCCGACCTGTCTTGACGAAATAAATTACAGTTTTTAATATTAACCAGGTGATCGTCTCGCTGTTCAGCCTAGTTTCTGTAATTGCTGCAATTTCGATTCGTATATTATGCAAAAAAATTCAACTTCGTCGACTTTTGGAAGTAATGATCTGCATGAAATTTGTAGATGAAGGGGAATTAGTACAGATGCTTTGGTGTTACTAAGTTCAGAATTTAATTAAATTGCTAGAATTTAAGTTTGAAAAATTCACCATTCTATACGCCTGCGTTGACTCCTGACCTGTATGTCATTGGAATTGTAATGCTTTTGTAGTTGCATTTGCTCATTAGATAATCAGCCAGTTCAGAGTTATTATTTACTACTGTGATAACTTGGAGGGTGGACCGGGATTACAATTGCCGATGATAATCGAAGTTGATAGGTTGGCTATTTATTTCAAACTTTGACTATATTATGTACACTACTGCATGTATAATAATAAGTGCCAAAAATTAATATATACAGTTGACCTTAGAATGAGGACATATGGGCATAGAAATATAGGGGACAACTTGAAAGGAGCTGCCACTCGATCATCAACAACGGCCTGAAAAGTACAAAAATAATTTCTGCGACCTTTCGAGAGAAGTTAGTCACGTCGACGTTCTGTTTATAGTTTTCATGTACTTGTATCTACTTTGCAGCTGTTCTATTATGTTAATCCCCATAATATAGGCTCGCATCAATTTTTATAATACGCCATTCTGTCAAACAGTTTAAGAGTTACCGTTGGCGTTATGGTCTAAGTGTGACTAACGCTGAAACTTTAAGGTCTTATATCAAAGCAGCTTTCTTGTAGCGGAATTGACATTTTCATTTACGAATCCTTCACAAATTGTCTGTGGACATCAATTGGAAAGGTAATTTTATACGTTATTCCTTTGAATTTATTCATTCTTTTGTTATAACAAATTTTTCTTTACTCCAGTAAGTCCTATATAACACAATATGGGGTTAATTACCCAGAAAATCCCAAATTATTATTAAAATAGTTATACCAATTCCTAGTAACTCTTTATTACGCCCCCATTTTAAAAAATAGTTGAACTGCAGCACAACGAAACTTACTAATATTTGTCAACTAGAACGTGAGTTTCACTGTATATATAGGTAATATTTCAGAAGAAGCAGATGTCGCTGTTATCTGAACTAATACGAGAAAAGGATTTTAACTAAATTAAAATAGTTCGATCAGATCCAAGATACGGAAACATAATGTACGACATATTGGGATTCTCGCGCGAAAATGGATATACGTTGCCAAAACAGCCAAATTTGCATTGGCATGCACAGACATTTAATTCCCAGTCGTTTTGTAGGCGTTTTTTACCTACGAAAAGTTAAATTTGTTTCAGTTAAACTGATGAAATACCCTCGAGCTTTATTCTTCAGAAAATACTTCTGAGTACCCAAGCGGGGATAGAACACACGACCTCTTAGTTTCTATATTTGCGCGCTTCCCAACTGCGCTACCGAGAACTCAGACGAGAGGTTTCGTGCCATCTGGTTCGAGTAGTGTTGTTATGTAGGCTACTTAAACTTTGTGTTTGTGCAATAATAATATCTTTTTTGTAATACTAGACCTGATGTTAATGTAAAAGTTTAGTTAATAGTCTAGTAGCTGTATAAACTTGGTATATGACGAGTAAAAGTTGTTCTCAAAGCGGGATGGGGATGGGGGTCGAACCCGCAACCTTTTAGTTTATAAATATGCGTTTGACCGACTGTCTCAAAACTCGACAGGAGGTTTTAAGCCATCTACTTCAAGCTTGTCTGAACTTTTTTCAATTTAAGAAATAGAAAACGAATCTCGTGCGTTTATGGCGTGATAATGCACGCGGGGAATGTTTAGAGAATACGAGAAAAGCATGTAAATATGAGCCATAGCCGAGTGTTTTACACGCTATATAAATATAGTGCAAGTATAATTGATGAAGGAACCCTTACTGAGAACAACTGAGCCAAAGAATGAATCGACTAAAGATGGATCAATAAGATACACAAAAGCCTGAGGTCCGAATAGTAAAATACTTGCTTTTTTATTATTAAAACTTTATTAAGTACACAGGGAGTCCATTTCACAATATGTGCTCTTCCATGGAGCCCTACACATTAAAAATATCTACATAATACTATTACAATTACAATCACAATTACAACTAAGAATCACAATACTATAAAGAAATGTAGAAAAAAATTAGGATTGTCTAGTAATATTTTTGAAATTATAACTACAAATGTAGCATTTACAGCTTCGACAGATCTATACCACAGGACGGTTCCTTTACA